GTAGGACATGAAGGAGTAGAAAAGGTGTTTCAATGGTCCCAGGAATTTGGAGAATGGAAAGGGAAAAGGATAAGGATAAGTGACATAGGGACCCCTGACCATTAGGTCCAGTCGTGGCCACCTCTGGGGTTGCAGCGCTCATCTCACTTTATTGGCCGAGGGAGCAGGCGTACAGCCAGCATGTGGCCAGCAGGACTGAGCCGCTTCTGGCGAACCAGAGCAGCTCACGGAAATGCCATTTACCTTCCCACCGGAGCAGTACCTATTTATCTACTTGCAGTTTTGACGTGCTTTTGAACTGCTAGGTTGGCAGGAATAAGGGACGTAGTGGATTCCAGTATACCATGCAATTTAGTGAAAAGGGAGTACGAAAAACAGGAAGAAATATTATTACCAGTGAAGGAAGAAAGGCCTTGGGGAAGAATATATATGGATTATATTGATAATTTGCCAAAAACAAAGGAAGGGTATCAGTATTTATTAACTGCAACTGATCATTACAGTGGGTGGGTGGAGGCATTTCCTATGAAAAATAACGGAGCTAAGGTAACAGTAAGAAAATTGTTTTCTGAAATGTTTGCAAGGGTAGGAGTACCTAGTGTGATCAGTTCAGACCGAGGTTCAGCTTTCATTAGTAAAGAGATGGAAGAGATGGCGAAGGCCTTAGGAATAAAAAGGAAATTACCGTAAGTATTTCTTACAGGCCACAGAGTTCAGGAAAAATTGAAAGGGTTAAATGAACGATTAAAAACATGCTAAGAAAAATGGTTAAAGCAACAGGCAAAGATTGGGCAGAAAAATTGCCTCTGGTGTTAATGGCTATAAGAAGCAGTCCAGTGGGAAAATATGGGTACAGTCCATATGATATTCTGCATGGAAACAGAATGAATTTAGGATTTCCTCATGAATTTGAAGAAAGTAGTGAGGAACAGTGGATGGAAATCCTGAAACAAAGGGAAATGTATAGAGAACTTATAAAAGAAATGTTACAGATGGAGGAACAGATTAAACCACAACTCAGTAATGAAATGATACCCATTGGAAGTTAAGTATTTACATTTGGGACCAAAAGAGCCTGCCTTGAGACCAAAGTGGAAAGGTCCATTTGTGGTCAGGGATTCTATTTACCCTGCAAGTTATTTGATCAACATGGGAGAAAAACAGAAATGGGTACACCGGAATCAGATAAAAATGTGGAAAGCCGCACAAGCATAACTGTGCTTTATCTTTACAGGAATGGAGTAGCTGATATATGCATTTGGAATTCTGTTATTTTTATTGATCCTTGGACTACTATATCAGTGTGAAGGAGACAAGTGTGGAATACTTATACCCTACCCTGGAGCCGCAACCCCAGAGTCGGCCCCGACTGGACCCAATGGTCAAGGGTCCCTTTACCTTTATGCTGGACAACAACGGGAAGAAACTGAGTTAAAACAAATTTTGAACAAGAAAATGTTATGGGCAGGCCCACGTGCGTGGAACCTTTAAAAGTGATTGGAACCTTAAAGGAAGCCAAAATGATTTCAAATTCACACTGCAGCGGAAGGATAATAGGACTATTCCTATTAATAAGCATGGTAGGCTGGTGTCCATTTGTGGAAGAAAACAAAACTTATGTGAATAAGAAATGCAAATACATTATAGTTCTAGAAGATGACCAACAGGACAATGTAACTTTTTGGTACAATAAAACACAAAAGCTTGTGGAGCAGGATGTAGATCTAACAATACAGCTATGCTCACAATACATAAGTGAATTGACATTGTCTGAAGACCATGTTTGTGGTTTATCTGGATAAAAAGGTTGAGTATAATTTGGATGCCAACTGGATAAAAAGTTTTAGTAATTTAATAAAAAGGTATGAAAAATATGAGAACCCAGAGACTATAGAAACCCGGTTACTGGATGGAAACCTCATAATGGTGACCCCCACAGTACAGTGGTACCTCAGGTTAAGTACTTAATTTGTTCCGGAGGTCCGTACTTAACCCGAAACTGTTCTTAACCTGAAGACCACTTTAGCTAATGGGGCCTCCTGCTGCCTCCGAAGCACGATTTCTGTTCTCATCCTGAAGCAAAGTTCTTAGCCTGAAGCACTATTTCTGGGTTAGCGGAGTCTGTAACCTGAAGCGTATGTAACCTGAGGTACCGCTGTAGAAGTAGAAACTTTAAAAAAGATAAGAGTTAGTAAATAAAACAGATAAAGAACCGGTTGTGAAGGTTCTGGTTTCTAAACAATGAAATCATAGCCTACCAGGATGGGAGGGACCACAATATAAACGCGCATTTATACATTCTAGATCTAATTGTACCAACGACAGTTTAATTGCAATGCAAACGGTTTTATGGTATTCTGGCGGGGTAGGAGTCAGCTCATTTTGATTGGCAACCCTGCGGAATCATCCTATCCCTATTTGGAAAGGAGAAATATGGGTAGCATGGGCTGTATAAACAATTTTGGGGAAGCTAGACCTGAATTGTGGAAAGTTTGGCTCAATGAAAATATAATTAATTGTACTGGTAAATGCATGGTTAAATTTAATTGCAGCATACATATACAAATGATCCTGATGCAAGGAATGTTGAAAAATAACACGGAAGGAAAATGTAAAGATCCCAATACTAACAAAGCACAAAAATTAGGGTATGCAATGTTTCAGATAGCCAGTGTAACCAAGGGCATTTGGGGGAAAACCCCATCAATTATGAAACTATGGCATAAACCAGAGGAAGCCATAGTTAACCCAAAACTGCACAAGTGGAACGTTAAATTAAATTTAACATTTTTCAATGTGTCCAACTATAAACCAAATTGTGTAAAATATACCAACCCCTTGTTACAACTTATTAAAGGAAAAAGTGAAATTTGGAAAAGAAGTAAAAGAGATCCGATGGATACACTATTGGGGGGGAACTAGAACTGGGGTGGGTGCAGCAAACTCTTGGGACATAGAGAAGAATGCCAACAAATTGCCAACATTAGGAGGATTACAATGGAAAGTGTTAAAGATGATTGGGAATGATTTTGAATCTAGCTATCGGGTTGCATATGTTGTCAGCAACTTTGGCAGAACAAGTCTCTGAACATTTGAAGAAAACATTGTGGGCTATAACAGATTCCCAAAACCAAACTTTAGAAGAAGTATCAAACACTGTGTCATCTTTAACAATACAGATGCTGCTACAAAGATGGAAGACCAGACTGGCGTTTCTCCTTCGGGAAGGGATGGGCAGCCTGGTGACTCCCAAGGCTATGGGCTTGCTTTCTAGTAGCAGCAGCAGAGGGAGTGGGTGGCAGGTCTGCAAACTTTTCCCTCTCGGATCCCAGAGCGAGCTTTCAAGGATGTTCCCTGCTATGTACTGAAGTTCTCACCCTGGGCCAGCAGGGGGATACTGTAGATAGTTTTCACTCAGGTCCACCTCAGTTATTTTAGGCGGGAAACCCTGGGTTGTTGCTGCTACAATGTTGACAGCCGGCTGCCTATAAAAGCAGGCCGGCTGAGCTGTTTGCTGCTCAGTTCTGTTCCAGCTTACAAAATGAAGAGCAGCTTTGGAGAAATCGCTGTGTCGTCTGCCATGTCTACCCACTATTCAACATTCCCCATCCTGAACATCCTTGAAAGCTCGCTCTGGGATCCGAGAGGGAAAAGTTTGCAGACCTGTGTGGCGTTCGTACGGAGCCCCCGGTCGTCTCACGGACTATTGACCCGCACACCACTAATCCACTACCACCAACCAGGTCCTGCCTGGTAAAATCACTTCAGTCTCAGTCAGCTTTTCAATTAATAAAGAAGAGTGTATTTTATTTCAGACACAAACAAAACTTTTACAGCATTCCAAACGTTGTTGCTCTTTACTTTCTTAGTCTTATGTTCCTCTCTCTATCTCTGCTACCACCCCACACTCAAGAACCCACGGTCCTAACTGTCTCTCTATTACCAACTGCCTTTCCCAACCAGCCAACCCACGAAAACCCACCAACTCCCCACCAACAACTCCCCACCAACTCCTCCCAGAACTGGTTTTATAAACCCACTGACTCCACCCCCCTGGGCCCTGTCTGTGCAACCTATTTAACTATTTCCCCTCCAGCACACTCTCATATATGTTAACGTCACAACCTGCCACTCAAAGCCCTCTCCCTCTCCCTCTCCCCCCTGCATTGCCTCATCCCCTTCAGGACAAGACCTTGGAGTCCTTAAAGCGGCTTTGCATCCTCTCCTCTTCTCCACGGAGAGCAGCGGCCCAGAGAGACCGGAGCTGATCTGGAGGAGGATCTGGCAGGGGGAAAGGCTCTGCCAGGAGCAAAGGAGGGCCTGGCAGGGGCTCCCCCATTGCAAGGGGCATTCTGGCCATGCCCTCCCCCCCGACCCCTCCCTCCCTCCCTCCCAAAGAGGAAGCAGCGCCTGGATGCAAAGGAAGAGCAGAGCTGCAGACCTCCCCCCTCCCTGGGAGTAGGACCCTCTTCTCCCAGACTTGGGGGGTCTCCCCCTGCAATTCAGAAGCAGAACACACACCCCTGCAGCTCTGGGACCCCCTCCTCCCCCAGGCACCCCAAGGGGGAAGAGAGAGGAGGCTCACCGGATTATTCCCAGAAGGGAAACCGAGGCAGCTCGTGGAGGAGACCAAAGATGCCGGAAGAGACTGGGCACGGGGGGGGGGGGAGGAATCTGCTCTGGAGGACCTGCCCCCTGCTGTCTCTACTTCCTGTGCTCTCTAGGATCCCAGCTCTGTCGAACCCTCCGCAAGCTGAGCACAGCCCGCTCTCCGCTCCCCCTCCCTCCCCGAATCGGATGGTCCGGGGCATGTGCAGAGTTCTCTGTGATTCTCGGCTCAGAGGTCATCGAGGCAGCAGCCTCGTACCCTGGCCCCAGATGGGTGGGGTATAAATAATAAACTAAAATTCTTCGTCTTCTTCCCCTGCTCACTACCTAGCAGACTGAAAGTCTGTTGCAATATTAGGAGGGTACTTGAGAGAGACACCTGTCCCTTTGGAGCAAATGGCTCCGTTGGTAAAGCAGGAGACTCTGGATCTCAGGGCCGTGGCTTCGAGCCCCACGTGAGGCAAAAGATTCCTGCCTTGCAGGGGGTTGGACTGGATGACCCTTGGGGTCCCTTCCAACTCGACAATTCGAGGAGGAGGCGGGGAGATCGCCCCCTTTGTCGTATTTACTCCCCTTGCAACAGTGGGGGGAAGGCAGAAACTCAGCAGGTGCAGCTTCTTTCCTTGCAGGGAGAGGAAGGGGGGAAACTGGCGGGGGAAACTTCTCCGGGGGGATTTTTGCCTGCCGCAAAGCCAGGGGAAGAGTTGCTGGGTAGCTAAGATTCCTGCATTGCAGGGGGTGGGACTAGATGTCCTTTGGGATCCAAACTACAGTTGTTTACTATTATTATTTTCAAACTATTTTTCCTTTTTAAAAGATCAGTGTAATTTAACAACACTAATAATAATAATAACTACTATATCATTATAAGAGTTAACAATTCCAATTCCATATATATACTTATCTAATGTCTAGGTGATATTATTATCCCAAAACATAAATGTTGATTCTTAACCTACTGTATTTGGTATGAATGCATTCCAACCCTACAACTGTTTCTGATCATTTTATGATGGCCCTCTAGCAGATCCCACCGCACGCCTCCAACTAATAAAGTTGCATTATGTCCCTGCTAACGGCCCCCAATTAAATAGAGTGGATCCACCTCATTAAATGAATTTCTGCCATTGACCACAGCCTCTCTTGTGTGAGGGAAAACTTGGTGATTTAGAGTCTTAGGCCGAAGCTGAACGAAGAAGAAAAGTTTTATTTACCAAGAAAAAGCTGGTGTCAGGAAATGGGTTCTTTCAGGCAGAAGTCAACTTATTGCTTCAACTTTGAGGACGTCACGGAATTAAATGCAGAAGTCCATGCGCAGCTTTTCTCATGAGACCAGGGCCCTGCGGGATTTGATTTCTTTCTTTTTCCTTTCTCCTCCTGTGAAAATCTTAATCTTTTAAATTTTATTTTTATCAACTTGTTTTTATTATTGGTTGTTAGCCACCCTGGCTGGGGAGGGCGGGGTATAAATAAAAATTTATTATTATTATTATTATTCTCCAGCTCCATTTGCCAAAAAGCCATTGCTCCACTTCAGGCAGATGTGTTGGTTTCTATTTCCTTCACTGAGCAGTGATTGATGAGGTATGTGCTACTGCTCCGGGCAGCCTGCCAGCTTCGAGTTAATGGCTTTATGGCTGGACTTTGACCTTTTAATGCCGGTTTTGCCGGGAATAGGCAAAAGGCTCCCAGGCACAAGTCACTATGCTGGGGAAATCGAAAGTAACTTTTAAGTGTGCCTTTGGATAAGGCAGCTGCAGCAGTGACGCAGCAAGATTTAAAGCAGCATAGATATGACCCTGAAGGCTAATGCCAGAGTCATGATGGCCCTTCAGGATGCTTCTGGGATTCCTAAGCTCAACAAGAAAAATTACAGCGACTGGGTTCAGTATGCAGAGGCAATTCTGCGGAAAGAGGGTTTGTTTGAGGTGATTACAGAAACCCCCCCAGTTCCAGTTACAGATGCATGGGAAGCTAAGGATTCCAAAGCAAGGGGAACTCTTACATTGATAGTATCCCCAGAAGAGCTCTGTCTGTTGCGTGATAAGACCTCAGCCAGAGAAATTTGGGACGCTCTGAGAGAGGCTCACTTAAGGACAGAAGCTGGGTCCACTATGTTTTATTTTAACAAGCTGCACAATATGGCTCTTGCTGAAGGTGGAGATGTGCGTTTACATCTGATGCAGATGCAAAATCTGAGACATGAGCTGCAACAGAGAGGACTCAACTTTCCAGAGGCTGTGTATTCTTTCATGATACTACAATCTTTGGGTTCAGGTTGGGAGTCTGTTGCAACCCAGATTGCTGTGCAACCAACTGCTCAGCTGACAGTGGACTTTGTTACTGCCGTGATTTTAAATGAAGCAGATCGCCGGGGTGCTAGCTGCATGGGCAAGGGGAAGTCTTCACAGACGTCATCCCATAGTGCAGTGGAACCACCAGATGGCGCCAAAGCTTTGAAGGCAGTCAAATGCTACTCGTGTGGACGTCTAGGCCATATGAAGAGGGAATGCAGACATCCCAGGGCCAAGACAGAGCAGCGCAGCGAAAGCTCATCGCATGGAAAAGGCCGAGGCAAAGGCAAAGGTCCGGTGTCTAGGACAACGCAGCACAAGGCTATGGTTTCACGCTTCACTCCAAAAGTTGCAGAGGTCCAGAAGACGTCTAGATCTTTCTTCGTTGTTGATTCAGCGGCGACCCACCACATGTGCAACGATAAGAAACTGTTTGTGTCTTTTACACCGCAGGAAGGTGCGATTCACCAGGCGGATGACCACACTATTCCCAGTAAAGGCTACGGAACTGTTGTTCTTCACAGTTTGGACTTATCGATACAGAATGTGCTTTACGTGCCAGACGCCAAACATAATCTGCTCAGCGTTGGACAGCTGAATGAGCGGAACATTGACGTTTCCTTCAAGAACAAGAAGTGCATCATCACAAAGAAAAATGATTATGTATTGCATGCAGAATATGTTGATCATTTGTTTGTTTTGTATTATGATGATGTGGTGCAGGATGACACTTGTTGCATTGCAGGTTCTAACAAAAGTTTGCATGCAGAATGTATTCACGATTTTCATCGCAAATTTGGTCATTTGCATTTTGAGGCAGTATCTAAAATGCCTGCCTTGGTTGAAGGTATGACTATTAAACCCTGCAGGTACCACATGAAGTGCAAAGCATGCGCAGCAAACAAGGTGAAAATGGCTGCGAAAGGTAAGGTGTCTAGTAGGAAAGCTACAGAACCATACCAGGTTGTTCATGCTGATTTGGTTGGACCACTACCGCCCTCTTTAGGTGGAAATAGATACTTCATGGTTCTCATTGATGCATTTTCTAGATATATTTTTGTGTACAATCTCAAGCAGAAATCGGAGGCTTTTCCTAGGTTCAAGGAATTCTGTGCTTGGTTGGAAAATGTGCATGGTAAGAAGATAAAGACTCTTTTCAGTGATCGCGGGGGGGAATTCACTTCTCAGCAGTTTGAAGCTTTTCTGACTGGGAAAGGAATTCAACACGATTTGTCTAGTCCTCGCTCGCCATGGCAGAATGGACTTGCGGAACGGGCAAATCAGACATTGCTTCAAGGGTTAAAAACCTTGCTGCATGATGCCAATCTTCCAGAGAGTTATTGGGCCGAATCTCTCTCGTGTTTTGTTTACAGTTACAACCGCAGATTATCTTCAGCGATTGGTTGTACTTCTATGAGAAGATGTTTGGCAAGAAGCCATACATCAAACACATGAAGATTTTTGGTTCTGACATGTGGGTTCGCTCACCACAAAACTCCAAGTTAGACAAGCGTGGATTGCATGGTATCTTTCTAGGTTATCAGAAAGGGTCTTACAGAATAATGATGACTGACTCTAAGACAATTAAGCTCACGAGAAGTGTTGAGTACAATTCAAAGTGGGGGTAGAATGTGGGAATTTTCCAATGTTATCCTGATGACGGTGATGAGACTGAGGATAGTCAAAAGCAACCACAACAACCCACACCCACTGATGAAGGTTCTGAGTCTGAATCTGAAACTGAATCGGGTGATTCAGAGGATTTCAAGAGTGCGAAAGCCTCTATGCGACCCTCTGAAAGCTCTGATCAAGAATTGGAGGAACCATTGTTCACAATAGGTCGTTTTTCTCCTAAGAAGGAAGAGGAGAGTGTTGAAGACTTAAGGCTAATTCGTAGGTCACAGAGAGCCACAAAAGGCAAACCTCCAAAGAGATTTGCTGATGAGTTTGCTAAGATAGCAGTAACAGCTGTTAAAAGCTCCAAGAAGGTATTTGAACCTTCAAGTTTCCAAGAAATCCAGGGTTTGGATTCAAAGGAAGCTGAGCCATGGTTAAATGCCATGAAGGCTGAGCTTGATTCCTTAGAAAGGAACAAAACATGGGAGCTAGTTCCAGTAGTTCCAGGAATGAAACTGCTTGGAAGCAAATGGGTCTTCAAAGCGAAGACAGATCAAAATGGCAAGATAGTCAGACACAAAGCCAGATTGGTAGCCAGAGGTTTTGCACAGGTACCAGGTGAAGACTATCACGAGACCTATTCACCCACAGTGAGATATGAAAGCATTAGGCTTATGCTCAAGCTTAGCTGCAGAGGAAAATCTACACATTAGTCACCATGATATTAATACAGCTTTTCTGTACGGATCTCTAGATGAATCACTTTATATGCTTCCACCTGATGGCGTACAGGTAAAACAGGGATTTGTTTGTGCTCTGAAGAAATCCCTTTATGGTCTCAAACAAAGTGCACGGTGTTGGCACACAAAACTCACTGAAGTATTGTTTTCTAGGTTTTCAGCAAGGGAAAGCTGATCCATGTGTATTTGTCAAAGAGGAGGGGCAAAAGAAACTGTACTGTTTGTTTTATGTTGATGATTTATTATTCTTTTGGAAAGATGTTGCAATGTACAATAGCGCCCTAGCTCAACTGAAAGAGCACTTTGACATGAAAGATCTTGGTGAGGTAAACAACTACCTATCTCTGGAAATAGAGAGAGATCAAGATGGTAACATTCTAGTACACCAGTCACGGAAAATTGCTGATGTGTTAAGCAAACTAAATCTGATGGATGCTAACCCTGTAGACACACCGATGACAACAGGTTATCAGGTAGATGACACTGAAGAAGCATTCTCTGACACTACACTGTACAGGAGTGTGCTAGGCAAGCTAAACTTCATTGCCAGATGTTCAAGACCAGACATTGCTGTTAGCTGTAATTTGCTAAGCAGACAAGTCAACAATCCTAGTGTCAAGGATTGAAAGCTCTGAAACGCATAGCGCGGTATTTGAAAGGCACTATGCATTACAGACTGAGATTTAACAATCAGAAGTCTGGTGGTCTTGAGATATTTGCAGATGCAAGTTTTGGAAGTGACGCTACAGACAGGAAAAGTACGTCTGGAGTTTGCTATATGTACAATCAGAGTCTGTTTGATTGGTCATGCAAGAAGCAAACAACAGTTAGCTTAAGTACTTGTGAAGTTGAACTGAATGCACTGTCTTATTCACTTAAGGATTGTGAATGGTTAGTACAATTGTGCAAAGATATGAAAATTCCTGTCAAATGTCCAATCCAGGTTTACCAGGACAACAAAGCATGTTTGGCTTTGCTGAAGTCTGAAGGTTGTAAGCAAGCACAAAGCACTTGCAATTAAAGTTGCAGCATGCTAGGGAATGTATTCAGAAGGGACTCGTAACGGTGTCCTATATGCCAGGTAATGAAATTCCTGCTGATGTATTGTCCAAGATTGTATCAAGGGATCAACACTGTACCTATGTGCAGAAGTTGGGTTTGTACTGATATTGTACGAACACGCTGCCCAGTGATGTTCACAGAAAGGGGGAGGATGTTGGTTTCTATTTCCTTCACTGAGCAGCAACTGCAGTCACAAGACAGGTGTTTACATTCCACAGTCTGTACTGTTGGAGTTTCTCACGGGAAAGGGAGACTGGATGTGACGTACACTGGTTTCCTGTTTTTTCACTCTGTGATTCTCTCCAAGCTGTTGAGGAGAGAGGATGCATTTTCTCTGCTCCTGCAGAGGCAAGATGTCTTTCTGTAATATACCAGCTTTGAACTGTAAATAAAGCAATAAAGAGTATGCAGCACGTATTCTCATCCTTCCGTTGGGCACGACAGACTCTGCTTTAAATCAACAAGATGTTCCGCTTTCCAGACATGATGGTCCAATGTTGAACTCCATTTCTGCCCCTTCTTCCCTCTGGTTCCTTGACTGAGGTGTGACAGGTGTCACTCACCATTCAAGGCTCTGGACGCAGCCCCCCTTCCCTGGCGGATTCCCACTTGGGGGGTTCCTGAGCGAGGGGCCCTTTCCCTCCGCTCCCCCCTCTCTCAGCCCCTCCAGAGGGATTCCCAGTCACAGGCCCAGGGGGTCCCCTTGTTCTGGGCTTGGGGGGGGTCTTCTCCTCAAATATCTCCCCCCCCCCAGAATGGAAGGAGACCCCGCTTCCGCCTGCCTCCCCATTGCTTCTCCCCTTGAACTCCCACCTGACTCCTCTCCCCAGACAGATTCTCCTCCCCACCTTCCCCTCCAAGGTCTCCCCTCAGACCATCCCTCTCCCCCTTTCTCCCTCCCTCAGAAAAGGCGCCTTTCATTTTCCCGCCAAAAGTGCTGGCTCCGCCCCCACTGGCTTGGGAGCCAATCAGAGCGAGGCTCCAGCAGCCTCCTGGTGGGATTTCTGAGGGACTGAATCCACTGACTGGCCTGGCTCTGCTGTCCATCACAGGCCCAAACAAGGGGGGCATCTGGCAGCTTCCCGATACAGTGGTGCCCCGCAAGACGAATGCCTCGCAAGACGGAAAAACTGCTAGACGAAAGGGTTTTCCGTTTTGGAGTTGCTTCGCAGGACGAATTCCCCTATGGGCTTGCTTCGCAAGATGAAAATACCTTGCGAGTCTTGAGATTTTTTTTTCGCTTTCCCCCCCCTTTATCTAATCTGCTAAGCCTTTAATAGCCTTTAATAGCCTTTTAGCAGCTAATCCCCTAAGCCTTTAAGCCTTTAATAGCCGCTAAACCGCTAATAGCGCTAATCCGTTAAGCCGCTAATAGGGTTGCTTCGCAAGACGAAAAAACCGCTAGACGAAGACTCTCGCGGAACGGATTAATTTCGTCTTGCGAGGCACCACTGTACCGATATCTATATATCATCTACGTCTGTCAATTACCTATCTATTTTAAACTCTTAGGGTTTAGGATAATTTAAAATGACTGTGTAGGGTGCCAGAGCTGCATTATTATTATTATTATTATTTATTTATACCCCGCCCATCTGGCTGGGTCAGTCTCAAGGGCAGCCCCACGTAGAGCGAGTTACAATAATCCAGTCTGAAGGTAACCGTCGCGTGGATCACAGTGGCTAGGTCAGGGCGAGAGAGGTAAGGAGCCAACTGCTTAGCTTGGCGGAGATGGAAAAATGCCACCTTTGTTATAGCTGTAATCTGCGCCTCCATAGAGGGAGGTATCGAAGATTACACCCAAACTCTTAACGGACGGTGCTGGCACTAATTGCGCCCCCGCAAGAGATGGGAGTTGCCCCCCCAATCCCATATCGTCCCGGTTGTGCTCCATGTGGCAGGTGGGGGGGCCCTCCGTGTGCATGTTTGCACTTGTGGGTTTATGCGGAGGTCCCCTGTGGGCTGCGCAGCAAGGCCCAGAAGACCACCTGCGGGTGCGATTCCTGACTCTCCTTTGCTGGAGACTTTGATGTGGAAGTTGGGTGGCCGCCTGTCCTGCAGAGACCGGTGGCTTTTTTGTCAGGAATCATAACAATGGAAATCAAGAAGACAAGCAGACCATTTATTTATGTACGTCACAACTGCTGCCAGGATTCTAACTGCAAAAAATCAGAAAAGAGAAACCATCCCCTCAAAACTCAAATGGCAAACCAAATTGCTAGAATACATACAGTTAGCAAGGATAACCGGAGCAGTAAGAGGAAATACAATACAAGATGTTAATAAAGAATGGATAGTAATTAAAGAATACCTTAAAGTTTACTGTGATAACAAAAGCTTTATGGCAGATATCGAATGAGTCTTGTAATATACAGAAATATTGGAGAAAACTAGAACCAAAAAGGAGAATGTGAGATGGGGGGGGGGGGAGATTTAGGAAACTGTAAAAAAAATTAGTTCAAAATAGTACAATGGGTATAATTGGAAGGCTTTTCTTTATCGTAAATAACATCATTTCCTATTCTTTTTCTACTTCTTTTTTCTCTTTTTTCCCCCTTTCATTTATACTTTTTGCGTATTCATAATCTGTAATGTTTGAATATGTTTTATATTGTATGTATTTTTAAGATTTCGGTATAATAAAGGTTTTACAATTATATAAAACAGGAAGAGGACAGTTGGAGGGGGGGAGGGACCTGCAAGGAACGCAGGGAAGGAAGGATCTCAGGGTGGGAGATGGGGAAAAGAGGGGGGCACCCAGGGGAGAGCTGGGGGAGCCTGCCTTTCTATGGGTTGATAAATGATATGATATATATGATACAAATGTGATAAAGGGTATTTTTAGTTATTCTGCCCCCTTCTCTTTTTTTATACACTTGTGTTTTGTAAGGGTTTAAATTTTTTTCCTTTTTGGTTTTCCCTCTGTATGAATTCTTTGATGGTTTGTGAGATTGTCGCTTCGACTGAACCTCTTTCCACATTCATGACATTGAAAAGCTTTCTCCCCTGTATGAATTGTGTGATGGGAAGAGAGCTGAGACCCCTTCCTGAAGCTCTTTCCACATTCAAAGCACTGATATGGTTTCTCCCCTGTATGAAATTTTTGATGCAGATTGAGACTGTGCCTGTGACTGAAGCTCTTTCCACATTCCAGGCATTGATATGGTTTCTCCTTTGTATGAATTTTTTGATGCGAAGAGAGATTGAGCTCTGACTGAAGCTCTTTCCACATTCAAAGCACTGATAGGGTTTCTCCCCTGTATGAACTCTTTGATGGGAAGTGAGACTGTGCCTGAGACTGAAGCTCTTTCCACATTCCAGGCATTGATATGGTTTCTCCTTTGTATGAATTCTTTGATGGGAAATGAGATGATCCTTCCGGCTGAAGCTATTTCCACATTCCAAGCACTGATAGGGTTTCTCCCCTGTATGAACTCTTTGATGGGAAGTCAGATGGTGGCTGTAACTGAAGCTCTTTCCACATTCCAAGCACTGATAGGGTTTCTCCCCTGTATGAATTCTTTGATGGGAAGTGAGATGTGCCCTTTTACTGAAGCTCTTCCCACATTCCAAGCACTGATATGGTTTCTCCCCTGTATGAATTTTGTGATGGGAAACGAGATTCACCCTCTGACTGAAGCTCTTTCCACACTCCAAGCACTGATGGAGTTTCTCGTTTGTATGAATTGTTTGATGTGAAGTGAGATGATTTTTCCTACCGAAGCTCTTCCCACACTCCAAGCACTGATAGGGTTTCTCTCCTGTATGAATTCTTTGATGGGAAATGAGACTATCCTTCCGATTGAAGCTCTTTCCGCACTCTAAGCACTGATAAGGTTTCTCCTTTATATGAATTCGTTGATGGGAAGTGAGATGGTGACTGTGACTGAAGCTCTTTCCACATTCCAAGCACTGATACAATTTCTCCCTACTCTTTGTTCTTTTGTGTGAAGTGAGGCTATCCCTCTGTACGAAGCATTTTCTTTGATGGGAGGTGGTCTGGGAGCTTTGGCGGATGTTCTCTCCACACTCTGAATATTTATATGACTTCTCCACTATGTGGATTCTGTTCTGGTCCTCCTGGTTCTTCCCTTCCAATTCATCACCATCTGCAATGAAGAGAGAAGCTAATTAGAGCCTCAGGACGAAATGGAGCTCCAGATTATTGAACAATGTTAATGAATCCTTGTGATAGAGGAAGAACTGAAGAAAGTTAGATGTGAGGCCTTACTATAGTTTTCACTGCCTTTGTTGGCTGGTATTAACTGACATTCTTAAGGAAACCTATCCATTCTTAAGGTAATCAGCTCTGAGTGCTCACTCGAAGGACAGATCCTGAAGCTGAGACTCAACAACAATTAACTGACTTATTGCTTGGCTTTTACAGTAGTACCTCAGGTTACATACACTTCAGGTTACATACAGTTCAGGTTACAGACTCCGCTAACCCAGAAATAGTACCTCGGGTTAAGAACTTTGCTTCAGGATGAGAACAGGGATCGTGCAGTAGCGGCATGGTGGCAGCGGGAGGCATGGCGGGAATTTCAGTCGGTCGGAATGAGTATAAAGTGAAAGCCTTTGCCGATGACTTAGTACTAACATTAGAAAATCCAGCTACAAGTGCTAAAGAAGTGTTAGAAGAGATAGAACAGTTTGGGCAAGTGGCAGGTTTTAAATTGAACAAAAAGAAAACTAAAATGATTGTTAAAAATATGAAGCAGGACCTGGTGGAAGTGTTGCAGCAACAAATTGGTATAGAAGCGGTCAAAAAAGTTAAATATTTAGGAATTTGGTTAACTACTAAAAACATTGACCTTTCCCATAATAATTATATACCGGTCTGGAATGGAATTAAAAGAGATCTGGAAATATGGGGAAGGGTGAAATTGTCATTTTGGGGAAGGATTTCTGCTATCAAAATGAATGTGCTACCAAAGATGTTATTTTTGTTTCAGTCAATTCCAATAATCAAAGGGGCTACAATTTTTAAAGAATGGCAAAAAACATTTTCAAGATATATCTGGCAGGGGAAGAAGCCGAGAATACAGTATAAGTCATTAACAGATGCTAAAGAAAGAGGAGGCTTCGCCCTGCCAGATTTGAAATTGTATTATGAAGCATCTTGTCTGTTGGTTAAAGGAATGAATGGTATTAGAAGATACAGATTTGTTAGACTTAGAAGGTTATGATAATAGATTTGGTTGGCACGCATATCTATGGTATAATAAAGCAAAAGTCCATAAAGGATTTGGAAACCACATATTTCGAAGATCTCTAATAGAAATATGGATAGGTATAAAAACCTATTGGAACAAAAAACACCACACTGGTTATCTCCATTAGAAGTAATGAGTGTGAAAAAGATCAATATGCAAGGAAACTGGATAACTGATGGGAGATTAATACAAAAAGAAGGAAGTAAATGGAAGCTGAAACCATATGAAGAAGTTAAGGAATATATAAGAGATTGGCTACACTATCGTCAGGTCAATGAAATGTTTAAACAGGACTTCAAAGAAAGAGGGTTTGATGAAAATAAGTCAAAGTTTGAAGTTGAGATATTAAGTAATAAGTATAAAATTTTGTCTAAAATGTATAAACTGCTACTTGAATGGCATTTGAAGGATGAGGAGCTTAAGTCGATTATGATTCATTGGGCTAAAGACTTCGGGTACAATATGCAGCTGAATGCTTGGGGAAAATTATGGAAGGAAGGTTTAAAATTTACTGCATGCAATGCCTTAAAAGAAAATGTGATGAAAATGTTTTATAGATGGTATATTACACCTGTCAAACTGGCTAAAATGTATAAAGTAAGCAATAAATGTTGGAAATGTAAAGAAAAAGAAGGAACTTTTTATCACATGTGGTGGGAATGTAAAAGGGTGAAAAACTTCTGGGAAATGATATATAAGATGCAAAAAATGTTGAAATATACGTTCATTAAAAAACCAGAAGCATGTTTACTAGGCATTGTAGGGGATGATATAAATAGAAATGATTGTAAGCTGTTTTTGTATGCAATGACAGCAGCAAGAATATTATTGGCACAAAAATGAGCATTTGCAGATGACTTAGTATTAATATTACAGGAGCCAGAATCTAGTACTAAAAGGGTTTTGGAACTGATTCAAGAATTTGGTCAGGTTGCAGGATTTAAACTGAATAAGTTAAAAACAAAGGTCTTAGAGAAAAACTTAACAGTGATTGAGAGAGAGAGGTTTCAGAATGAGACAGGTTTAACAGTGGTTAAGAAAGTGAAATACCTGGGGATTAACATGACAGCTAAAAATGGGAATCTATTTAAAGACAATTATGAAAAATG